TAATCAATATGTTTGCTTTGTACTATATACAAATTGTTTAATGTCGCATATCACCGCACCAGCTTTGATTAGTTCTCGTGTTTTACTCGGAAATCGGACACGTAAAAGTTGAACTATAAGTGGTGGATACTGAACGAGACCAGGAGCAAACGGACGTTGATTTTGCTTATAAATAATATTCCAGAGTTGTTCATAGATATAATTTTTTTTCAATAACGCAGAAACTTCCACTGTGCTTCCAGCAGGAACATCTTTCTCTGAATTGAATAATAGATCAAAAATCTGTTCAGGAATCCCACATTGGCCATACCGATTGTACGCTGCATTCAGAGTATTTGCTAACTGATCAAGTTGACGAGTACGAAGTTGCTCAGTTGGTTCAACGTAACTAGAAAAAAGAATATTTTAGGAGTCACGAAACAGCAGCGCGGTTCAAAGCCTTGACTGATAAAAGGTCTGTGGAAGATAAGACAACAACAAAGCCAAAGACAGCCTCAGAAAAAAAGCTCAACTCCTCATACGAACGATACTCTCAAACAGAAACTGAATCAAGTAACTCGAGTGATGAATCGGAAGATGATGAAAGTTCAATCGATTACAAAAAGGTGAACCTCATAGTCAGTTTTGAGAATCTGTTGTCACTCGTGAACTGTATGAAATGCAGTGATTGTGGTCGATCTGGTGATTATACGTTCAAAGTTACAAAACGTCTTGGTTTGTCTTACTATGTATCGTTCACATGTGAATGTGGTGATGTTCTTCGTTTCGTTACTGGTACAAGAATAAGAACGGACACGTCTACTCAAATGACGGATCTCAATATGACGAGTATCATCGGAGGTTCATTAGTTGGTTTACACAGAAGAGGACTGACGAAACTGTTTGGAACTATGGGTATTCTGCCACCAGTTCAAATCGAGAGCTATAAAAAATACGAAAAATTCCTCTGTGACACAGCCGAACATGTAGTGACGAAAAGTATGCAAGATGGTGCACAAGAGGCATGTACCCATTTTCAAAGTAAGGATATTTGCGTCAGTGTCGATGGGACTTGGCTTACTCAGGGCTTTAGCAGTTTGCATGGTATAGGTACATGCTGTAGTGCTGCGGATCCACCAAAAGTCTTGGATCACCAGCTGTTGAGTCGACATTGCTCGAAATGTGCCGGATTAGTAGGCGTAAAGACATCAGATGGAGAATTGTATGACAAGCTATTGACCGAACACCTGAAGCGTGGCTGTGAGGCGAACTACCAAGGTTCAAGTGGTGGTATGGAGGGAACAGCTGTCGTACAAATACTCAAACGATCCATACAGAAACATGGCCTTCAATACACGTCATTCATCGCCGACGGTGACACGAAAAACGACGTATCCGTCAGCGAAACAGAACCATACGGTCCTGGGATCATAATTGAGCGAAAACACTGCATAAATCACTACTCTAAACGTATGAAGACCCGTCTATCGACAATAAAAAAGCAACATGGCAGCAACCGTTTACCTGATCGAAAGACTATTGGAGGAAAAGGTAGATTAGATGACTCAAAAATATATCGAGCTCAGGTTTACTTTGGAAATGCGGTTCGAGAAAATGTTCAAGACTTGAAATCAATGCAAGTCGCAAGTTGGTCCGCATGGTATCATTTTGCTAGCTCCGATAAACACCCAAATCATGATTTCTGTAATCCAGATCGTTGCGGATTATATTTAGATTATAATTACCAACATCAGGAACATAGTCTACCTCCACGTATTTGTGAAGCAATTCATCCAGCGTATGTTGAGCTATGCTCCGAAAAGTCACTCCTACAGGTGCTGCCAGCACCTGTAGGATTCGTTGGCATTTTTTTTTGCGCCAGTCGGAATGGGGGCCCCACAAAATCCCACGCAACCGAGTGGT